TCAAAATAAGACCTAAATATATAACGAGTGTAGGAAAAATGATTTTAGAAGGGTTTAGAGAAATAAACTGTTTATTTTGTTAACTTCCAATACCTCACCAAGATCTAGTAAACCCCTTATTGCCTCAATCTATTAAATCTTAATTTCTATAATAATTGGTAAAAATAATTTATCTATATTTTGTTAAATTTAAATGTTCATTTCTTGATGGACATATAATTTATCAAAATTTTGTTGAAATAACTATCACAAAAGTAATATTTTTTAGAACTTACTTGAATTTGGGGTGCATTTAAGACAAATTTTTTAAAAATAATAAAAACTAATAGTCAAATTTTATCCACAATATAGGTATACGAAAATATCAACATCTAAAGAATTTTTAATTAATTTTCATGTGGCTGAGTTGAGCCTAACTGTGAAAGTGCCTAATTGAGCCCACCTGCCAAAGTCGCTGAATCAAGGCCACCGACCGAAGTGAATGAATCAAGCCCATCTGCCAAAAAGGTTGATCCAACTCATATCCATTATCCTTAAGAATGAAATAAAAACCTATCTTTACAAAGTGGTAACTCTGGAAGTCATCTTAACCAACTAGGATATTTGTCCTTCTCTCATTTATGGACGTCGCCAGGCAGTAGGGATTCAGTCCCTTCACCCACACATCGAGGATAGCTATCTCACTAGCAATGCTTGACATCAACAAACAATACTTCATAGTTTTGGCACCGGTTGGAGAAAAGTCAACAACACAATCCTTGATGTCCTACGTCAGCAAATTTTATATTATTTTTTATTCCATGTATAAATGAGTTAACAAGAGAAAAGAGAGGTGGATCTCTCTCTCTTTTTCTTTTTCCACCCTCTCATCCCCCTTTCACGAGAGATTCCAAATCTTTTTGGAGGGAACTCTGTCTCTCGCTATATCTACTTCTTCCTCTAATGAACCCAATCATTTGAGACTTTTCCATCTCACTTTCTCATTACAATACTCATACTACATTATTGAGTTTTTTTGTCAAGCTGTATGTACCGACAAACAATACGAGACCCTACGTCCTAAAATGATTCAACACAAATTAACGAATCAAGCTTTGAAGTAAACCCTTTATTATATGCAGTTAGTTTATAAACAAGTAAGAATTTCAAAGGGATCATGAAGTCTCTATAGCTAAAAGCCCCAAAAATATGTGGCCGTGCAATCATCATTGAACAAATTAGCAAACTAAATGTAAACCCTTTTTTAAACTAATTAATCTAAATTAAATATCAGAGAAAGAAACCAGTAAAATAAAAAGTAGAATAGATTCAAAGTGAATTAAAATATAATTCAGTTTTGATTTAATTAAATTTTGAAATTTTAACAAAAATGTGTGCATTGGGTTAGTTTGAATTGGAGCTAAGGGCCCGTTTGGGGCAGCTTATAAGTGTGGCAGCGTTTTCAAAACGCCGCCTCACTGTTTGTTTATCGAGTTTTAGGTGAGTTTTTAAAAATCATGTTTTTTATTTCTTATTAGATGCAGACCGCGGGTATACCCCGCAATCCGCATTTGCCCTATAGCTTTTACTCCCTTACCCTCGCTAAACCCGATCATAGTCGATCCTGCCTCCGTCGCTACCCAAATTTGCTCTGCAGGGAAGAAAATTCCTCTCCTCCCTCCTCTCCTCCTCTCCTCCCTCCTTTTCCCCATTTGGTCGTAGACCTAGGCATGCCGAAAGCGAAGCCGAAGCACGAGGAAGAGATCGCAGAGATCTCTAAAAAAATGCATCAAGATTAGTGTCACACTTCAAGATTAATGTCATATGATGGAAATTTGTTGATGGTGTATCAAGTATATAAGGGAAAGATAAAATTTCAATAGAAGATGAATGCAATAAGATTAGGTCATGGGTTTAAATCAATTGGTGATATTATAAAAAGGTGAATCAAAATAAGACCTAAATATATAACGAGTGTAGGAAAAATGATTTTAGAAGGGTTTAGAGAAATAAACTGTTTATTTTGTTAACTTCCAATACCTCACCAAGATCTAGTAAACCCCTTATTGCCTCAATCTATTAAATCTTAATTTCTATAATAATTGGTAAAAATAATTTATCTATATTTTGTTAAATTTAAATGTTCATTTCTTGATGGACATATAATTTATCAAAATTTTGTTGAAATAACTATCACAAAAGTAATATTTTTTAGAACTTACTTGAATTTGGGGTGCATTTAAGACAAATTTTTTAAAAATAATAAAAACTAATAGTCAAATTTTATCCACAATATAGGTATACGAAAATATCAACATCTAAAGAATTTTTAATTAATTTTCATGTGGCTGAGTTGAGCCTAACTGTGAAAGTGCCTAATTGAGCCCACCTGCCAAAGTCGCTGAATCAAGGCCACCGACCGAAGTGAATGAATCAAGCCCATCTGCCAAAAAGGTTGATCCAACTCATATCCATTATCCTTAAGAATGAAATAAAAACCTATCTTTACAAAGTGGTAACTCTGGAAGTCATCTTAACCAACTAGGATATTTGTCCTTCTCTCATTTATGGACGTCGCCAGGCAGTAGGGATTCAGTCCCTTCACCCACACATCGAGGATAGCTATCTCACTAGCAATGCTTGACATCAACAAACAATACTTCATAGTTTTGGCACCGGTTGGAGAAAAGTCAACAACACAATCCTTGATGTCCTACGTCAGCAAATTTTATATTATTTTTTATTCCATGTATAAATGAGTTAACAAGAGAAAAGAGAGGTGGATCTCTCTCTCTTTTTCTTTTTCCACCCTCTCATCCCCCTTTCACGAGAGATTCCAAATCTTTTTGGAGGGAACTCTGTCTCTCGCTATATCTACTTCTTCCTCTAATGAACCCAATCATTTGAGACTTTTCCATCTCACTTTCTCATTACAATACTCATACTACATTATTGAGTTTTTTTGTCAAGCTGTATGTACCGACAAACAATACGAGACCCTACGTCCTAAAATGATTCAACACAAATTAACGAATCAAGCTTTGAAGTAAACCCTTTATTATATGCAGTTAGTTTATAAACAAGTAAGAATTTCAAAGGGATCATGAAGTCTCTATAGCTAAAAGCCCCAAAAATATGTGGCCGTGCAATCATCATTGAACAAATTAGCAAACTAAATGTAAACCCTTTTTTAAACTAATTAATCTAAATTAAATATCAGAGAAAGAAACCAGTAAAATAAAAAGTAGAATAGATTCAAAGTGAATTAAAATATAATTCAGTTTTGATTTAATTAAATTTTGAAATTTTAACAAAAATGTGTGCATTGGGTTAGTTTGAATTGGAACTAAGGGCCTGTTTGGGGCAGCTTATAAGTGTGACAGCGTTTTCAAAACGCCGCCTCACTGTTTGTTTATCGCGTTTTAGGTGAGTTTTTAAAAATCATGTTTTTTATTTTCTATTAGATGCAGACCGCGGGTATACCCCCGCAATTCGCATTTGCCCTATAGCTTTTACTCCCTTACCCTCACTAAACCCGATCATAGTCGATCCTGCCTCCGTCGCTACCCAAATTTGCTCTGTAGGGAAGAAAATTCCTCTCCTCCCTCCTCTCCTCCTCTCCTCCCTCCTTTTCCCCATTTGGTCGTAGACCTAGGCATGCCGAAAGCAAAGCCGAAGCACGAGGAAGAGATCGCAGAGATCTCTAGTGCATGGAGGCTCTAGTCGGAAAGGAGTCTCTCCGACGGTGGGGAGTTTTAAGGCTAGATCGGGGAATGGCAGCTGCGAGGAAAAAGAGGATTTGAAGAAGAGGGCATGTGAACGGGTCAAAGGGGAAAGTTCACAACAGGAGGATGTGGAAGAGCCCATTGAGGTCGGAGAAGAAGTGAATTTAAATAATCATGATTAATATAGATCAATTACATTAATGTATATATTTTTGTTTCGTTTTTCTAGAGCCGTTGAATGATCTGTGTATATTGATGCCAAAGGATGAATATGACATGAACTGCATGCTCTGTTTAAATACTTGAGTAAGCTTATTAGTTCATGTAAGAAGTACTATAATTTCATACTGTTATGAAACTTGTGTATCTACTGAGAGTAATGAACATGTAAGAAATTGAACAGCTAAACAGTTTATCCACAACAGGGGCAGAATAATTATTTATCCATAATCAGTAGTTTTCTAAACGCACAAACCAAACAACCAGTCAGCTTATCTGGATCAGCTGCTCATCAGCAGA